ATGGAATCAGACATGAGAAGACGGTTCCACAAACTCCACAACACAATGGTGTAGCCGAAAGAATGAACGCAACCATTGTGGAGAAAGTTAGTTGCATGTTGAGTATGGCTAAACTACCGAATCCATTCTGGGGTGAAGCTGTGCTGACAGCTTGTTATCTTATAAACAGGTCACCTTCTGTTCCTTTAAACTTTGAAGTGCCAGAGAAGAAATGGTCAGGAAGAGATGTTTCTTACTCTCACTTGAAAGTGTTCGGGTGCAAGGCATTTGCACATGTGTCCAAGGAGTTGAGACATAAGCTTGATCACAAATCAAACCCATGCATTTTCATCGGCTATGGAGATGAAGAATTCGGATACCGGTTGTGGGATCCCGAAGTGAAGAAAGTTATACGAAGCAGAGATGTTGTATTTCATGAAAATGAGTTTCATGAGTGTGCTCCAATAATCCGCAAACAACATACTCCAGAAGACGAAGTCCCTGTATCATCAAACATTCCTCTCAGCGACAAAGAGATGTATGATACTACTGAACAAGAGAGTGATGGTTCAGTGGGTAATGATGATGATCACAGTGATGATATTCCTTAGTAGGGGCAGCCTACATCTGAAGACGAAGCTGAAGGTACTCATGTTCGACGTTCTATGCGAGGCATAGTTTCACAGCGAAAGTATTCCACATCCAAATGGATACTTGTTGCCAGCGAGGGGGAGCCAGCAAGCATCGCAGGAATAATAGAAACAAAGAAAAAGGTGGAGGGGGGGATTTGTAGGGAATTTCCACCTTCTTTCTTGGAAGTTGCCAAGAGGCATCTCACACCTTCTTGGAAGGAGCTCTCCAACATATGAAAATGAGAGAAGCTATGGAGATAACTATGGAAGCTTGAATGCAACTTCCTCTTGTCTCCAAACTAGCCTATAAATAGAGTGTTCTATTGTTGTTCATATCATCAGTTTTAGAAAGTGAGAAAAGTGTGTGAAGAGTGAAATACACTTAGAGTACAAGTGTATTGGTGATGATTGGTTTTTTGTAATAGTTGAGTGTGAGAGTTTGCTCCTCCTATTGTAATTCTGTTCTTGATATTGAATAGAAGAAATTTCCAATCCCAACAAATTTGTAGTGCATTTGTCCTTACTTTGATGTAAAAAAATGCATAAATCAAATACTTTTATTCGGAAGTCAAAACTAAGTACTAAAACTAATTACCCATAAATGCAAAAAGAACTAAGATATATGTTTAATCAAGTTGTGAAAATTAAAAGGCCATACACAGGCTCAATATTAAGCACGCATCCATTTTTACGGACAAATCAAAAAACAACAAAAAACGCATTCAAAACTTAGTCCTAAAAGCATTTGGAATCCATTAACATGAATTGAATCAACATATGATGAACAAATTAAGGGGGTTGATAATTTTATCAAGTTATATTTCACACTGATCCACTATTTACTTTAATTTTTTACCTTAAAATACTCCGTACTTTATTTTCATGTCAAATACTCCGTATTACTTTATTTACTTACACATGTTTGATTTTGCTATGGAATGTGGGATCGACTTAAAGTCTTGAACACGTTTGCTATTTTGCTTTGAATTGAAATTCGGTGTGGGATCGGAGTGCGGGAGTATCAGTTTATATATATTTCCTTTTTAATAATACTAGTACGGCCCCCGTACGATGCACGGTGTATGAGTTTGTTCAAGGGGTATAATTACTGTTACACTTGAAAATTCGATTGGTGATGTACGGAGTATAAGTTAAATACCATGTATACATGATGATGATGATGATGATTAAGCAAAAAATTGCTTAATTATTACATATTGTAATATGTAACGTTATTATGGTACATTGTTAAACATTAGAGATTATGAAACACTTCTTGGTAGACAACGTTCATTGTTTCATCCACCGGACAACTATAATTGCTCTGAATGAGGATTTTGAGACCTGCACGATTTGTAACTCTTGACACAGCAACAAACAATTGTCCATGACTGAAAAGAGCTTTTTTCAATAAGAGGGTGTCATGAGCGAGCAATTGGCCTTGACTTTTATTGATGGTCATTTCATAAGAAGTCATAATAGGGAAATGCCTCCTTTGAAATCTAAACAGCAGCCTAACATTAGACGATGTCAAAGATAGTCACGATATTAAGATTTTCTATCTTGCACTCATACATTGAGGACTTTACCCTTTAAAATGTGATCACAGATCTTTGTTACGATGAGTCTTGTCTCATCACATAAAAAATGATTGTTCAGTATTACGCAAAAAACATGACTGGGGTACCGACTTTTAAAGTTTGAGCAACGCTGCTATTCAAGAATTCTGTAGCGTGCAACTCTTCTATAAGATCATGGGTTGAATCAGATTTGCAAACACTCTCTGTATTTATGTACATTCAAGCAACTTCCATGTGATTCAAACTTGTCATATATATATTTTTTGTGCTTCTTATATAATATTATAAGAAAATTCCATTGACATTATCCATATAATTGAATTGTGTGATTTTTCAAATTTCTTAAACATGGTTTTCATTTCACCAAGCTATCAAAGATTAAACTCCCACTTAATTGATTAAGATCATATCTTGGTTTCTTTTCATAGGTGGTCTAATATGAGGCTTAATGAGTGTTGCAATGGCCACTGAAAGAAATACATTATCATGTCATTTGTCAGATAAACTTTGTTTATGTTTTACGCTAAATAATATCAATACATTTGCATCACACCTTTGTGTGGCTAGTACAGCTCCCATGCGATGCACTGTGGGTGAATTTATTCAAATATTTTATAATTTTTATTTAATGTTAATGTGTTTTAGTGTTGTAACACATTACATGATAATGTTACAAAAATAAATTGTAGTAATGAGGCCGCACGATAATGTTACAAAAATAAATCGTAGTAATGAGACCGCACATGTAATATATCAAAAACATTTATATGAAAATATAATATAATCCGTACGTTTTTACATTCAATTAAAAATTAGAGATTATGAAACACTTCTTTTCAAGAGCATTCGTAAATTGTCATCAGAATGTTGATCATCATCGTTTTAAATTAAAATTTTGAAACCTGCATGATTCTTAAACCTTGATAGTGCAACATACAGAGTACAATTGCTAATGATTAAGACAGTTTTTTCAAAAGACATATTGCTTGTATGGAACTAAACTCACAATGATTTTTAATACGCTATTATTTAAAAGATGAAAATGCGATGTGAATATTACTCACTCTGCCCAATGACTTTGTCCCGTTTTATCGTTTTCATCCGTCCCATTAACTTTGTCTCATACCATATTTGATGATATTTGAGTAGTTTCAATTCATACTTACTTTATTCATAATTTATCAATTCAATACCAACCACACAACCCTACTTTTTCTTAAAAACCACACGCGACCTCTTTGTCCCAAACTTAGGGGGACAAAGGTAGTATTGTTTTAAAACATTTCCATAAAAATTTAAAAGGTATAAATTTCACTAAAATATAATAACTACACTTGATACTCAAAGTGTATTACATAGTACAGAGTATCATTTACCAAGAATAGATAATTTCACCAAATTTTTATGGAGGATAAAAGTATTAAATATATTGTTCTTTAAAAATCGACGGATGAAGCGAATCTAGTCATTTCATCATTTATAAAAAAGACACTTACTAATTAAATAAAAACATCTATCAATAACATGTTACTCTCTCTGTCCCGCTAAGATTGTCCCAGTTTCTATTCACTTGGTCAACACAAATCACTTTTAATCTCTTATTTTATATATCAACTTGTATCAAATTTGATTCTGGTTTTTGTGACTTTGTAATAAAACTTTTAATGTAGTTTCTTAATATGTAATTTTCTTTTTCTAAAAATACATTGAGTGCGAACAGGGATCTATTTGCTTTATCTTCGGTCAAGCATCGTAAACCATTTTGTCCCAATCTTAGTAGAACGGAGGTAGTATTTGATTGGAAACTCAGTTTAAAATTTAGAAACACTTGGGGCCCGTTTGATAACATCTGTTTTTAGTTTATCAGCCTTATTGGTCTTATCAGCCAGTTTTTTAATTTACAGAGTACTAAACATGTACTCCATCCATCCTGCTAAGATTGTCCTATCTTTCCTATTTGTCCGTTCCACTAAAATTGTCACATATCAAATTTGGTAAAATTTATGCGTTTTTAAAACATTCTTACTTTATTCTTAGTTTATCAAAATCAATATCAACCACATTAACCCAATTTTCTTAATAACTACCCTCCTCCTCATGTCCCAATGTTAGTGGGACGAATGCAATAGTTTTTACTTTAGCTGAAGTTGGAGTCACTTTAACGGTTGAATTGACTGAAATTAGTGTAATGATCAATTAATACCCTAAATATATTTTTCATGTAATTTTTTCATTAAGAATTTTATTAAGTTGAAGTTGGAGTCACTATACTTAAGAATTTTCATGTAATTTTTTTATTAATTAAAATATATCATAAATAGAATTTTTCTATAAATCAATAAATTCCGCTAATTTAGTAACTTCAATCAGAATTTCATATATAATATGTAGTATAAGATTTTATAAAATTACATATGTTATACTCCCTCCGTCCCGAAAAGGTTGGCCAAATTTTCTTTTTTGGATGTCCCAAAAAGATTTGTCATTTCCATTTAAAGTAATGAATATGTGGCTAAAATTAATTCTCTCCTTTGCACAAATTTCAACCACACAGTTTTTACTTTATTAATCCACGTGAAAGACAACTTTGGCCAACCTTTTTGGGATGGAGGGAGTAACAAATTAAACCGATTCCACCAATTTTAATGTTATCAAACATGGTCTTAATTTTGAAATTTTTGTTCATAACAAAATTAAATTTTCAATTCATCAAAATTTGAAATATGTAGTGCTCCGTTGAAACGATGTGGGCTGGATATCAGGGCTGGTCATTTTGGCCTCATAAACATGACACCTCGCCACCTAGGGTTAGATAGAACACATTTCCCCAAACTCCTCCTCCACACCCTTCGAACATATGGAAACATCATTTTCCGATTCCTCTTCCATCCCAAACTCCTTTGCTTTGATGGTAGCCTCCACGGTATCCGAAATCTTACAAACACCACATCCTCCACCAAAAGTCCTTCTCTCATCCACTTCTAGGTACCCGGCTACCATTCTAGCAAAATCTTAGTCATCATCGACCGACGTTAGCAAGTTGTTTTAGATCCGAGGAAAAGTGGCCGATACCTAAAACGATGAAGCTTCTCAAAGACCGGGCATAGGAGAGTCATTAAAGGTATGATTCCTACAGTATTCAGTTTATTGATTTGAATTTGAAACTGAAAATTTTATTTTATCAATGAGATGGACGGAGATTCCGCTGAAATTTTAGACATGTCCTAATCGAGGCGCTGCTGAAAGGCAAATGGTCCTCAAAATTATTTCAGGTATTTCGGACATTTGGTAATTCCATTAATTTATATAAATTGATGGTATGTTGTTGTTCTAATGATCGTCATTTTCCTATTTTGCAAATTCCATTGATGGTCTCTTATACATTGTCTTAACAGTTGCTTGGAAAACGTAATTGGAATGCTGCAATTTGTGTAAACTCCATCCTAAATTCCTAATCTGACTCTATTTAATGTTTAAAAGCTCATGTGTTGACGTGAAATCATTGATATGTCTGAAGTGGCTAAACTCTATCAAACATGTCTAATTCTTATAATCCTGATTATATTTATCAATATTTAAAAGCTCTAGTGTGGAATTAGAAACAAATAACCCCCATATTTTTTAATCATTATAGTATAAACTCATGAATCCAAATAAATAGTTTTCTCGAATTGGCTAAACTCTCGCTAATTTGCGTCTTTTTCTTTTATAACATAATCTCCCAAAAATGAAAACAATGATTTCCTAGGGACAACTAAAATTTGCAAAAGGTGTATACCTTTAAATTAAATTTCATAAAATAATCACCTGAAATTAAACCAATGAATTGTTTGGTCTTTGCTAAACTCTATCAATTTGCATATTCCATTCTTTTTTATGTGCGGAGTACTATATATTAAAAACTCAAAAATTATATTATTGGTTATTTATACTATAGGAAATATATTGGTTTTCCTAACACTAACTTAGTGATTATCTTTCTAAAATGAAACCTACACACAGGGGCGGATGGAGAAAGTCACAATGAGGTGGGCTGGGAAAAAAATTGAAATACACATATATAATAATAAGTCAAGTCGTCAACACTTACAAATTCATTAAAACATCATTTAAGTTGTGCCCTACGCGACTTCAAAGTATAAAATTCATCAATAATAGAATCTATATCTATATTATTGACAAAGTCTCGTTCAATGTAGATCATCAATGAATCTTCAAGAAAATCGTCTCCCATTTTGTTACGAAGTGCCGTCTTCACATGCTTCATTGCTGAAAATGCTCTTTCCGTAGTAGCAGTAGAAACAGGTAGGGTCAAAACTAGACGAATTAGTCTCGTCAACATAACATAGATTTCTGATTTCCCACTCTGCGTCAAATGTTGACATAACTCAACAAGTGTGGACGCTTCAGATGTTGAAACAATATCATGCTTGTAGTGAATCAACTCATAGTCAAGTGAGACAATGTCTTGATCAGTGAAATCTGCAGGATAAAACTTTTTTGCAAGTTTACAGATATCCTCACTGTTAAATGAGCTGAAGGAGTTCTTGGGATCCAAAGAAAGACTAAGTTGAAGAAGTTCCATGAATGTATCATTAAAGCGCGTGCCTAACTCAATCAAAGTAAAATCAATCGCTTCATTGAAGACATCAAAATGATAATGATGTTCTATTGTTGGTTGGAAACGAGAACGCCCAATCTTATATGGATCACCCAAATTTGGAACATCAATATCATTTGAAGAGCAAAAACTCTTCACTTCTTTAAGAACCTCCTCCCAACCAGATGCTCTTAACTCTGCAAGGATAGTTTTAGTAGTACCAACGAATGTAATAGCACTCAAAATATCAAGAGTTTTTTTTGAAGAACCTGGCAAAGAGTATCAGTTATTCTCAGAAGTTTATGCATCAAGTATAAGACAAACACAAATTCAAAGCTTGCCATTTTTCTATAGGTCCCAAGAACTTCAGCTTTAGATCTTCCATTTGGAGAGTTCTCAACCAAATGTTCAAACACTTTGCAAGTTGCGGCATACATGTTTATCAAACTCTTCACGGAGCTATAGTGAGAACCCCAACGAGTAGATCTGGATCGTTGCAAATTACCAACTTAATTTGCACCACGTCCCAACTCGCGTTCCCCGGTTGCTAATAACTTCTCAATTTCACTTCTTTGAGACACGTGCAACTCCGATACCCGCTTTGGTGAAGAAGTGATATATTAACAATATTATCCAAATGAGAGAAGAATTCCCAAATTAAGCTAACATCCTTAGCCGCAGAAACCAACGAAAGTTGTAAGCGATGTGCAAAACAATGAATGTAATATGCATAAGGAAAATCTCTACGAAATAATGCCTGAAGGCCATTAAATGAACCTCGCATATTACTCCCACCATCATAACCTTGGTCTCTCATTTTTGAAAGTTGGAGGTCATGATTACCAAGCACATCACATATTTTACCTTTCAAGGTACTTGCTACAGTGTCACTAACACTTCTGATGGCAAAGAACCGCTCTGTAAGAATTCCCCTGCTGTTCACAAACCGTATAATAATCGCCATCTGCTCATGTTTAGATATATCTTGTGCTTCATCAACAAGAATGCAGAAACAACTATTTGCAATTTCTTCACGAACCATTTGACGAAATCTATTTGCCATTATATTCAAGATCTCTTTTTGAATGTCGGGAGCAATGTACTGAGCATTTTTAGGAGCATTCTCAAGTACAACTTCATGAACTTTGGTATTCATAGTCGCAAAAGCTTTCACTAGTTCAATAAAAATTTCCCGATTTGATGATGTTACAGATTCATCATGACCTCTAAAGGCACAACCTTGAAGTGCCAACCATCGAACAGTTATAATAGAAGTTCTCAATCGCAAACGATTTTTCTTCTTTTCTTGTTGCGATTGGGCATGAAAAACATTCTTAATATGGCCAGATGGTTGGCTCAAATTTTCAGCTCTTTGAACACACATCATATGAGGTGATTTTTCTGAAATACCAATGTGTTGAAGAAATGCACATTGACTTCCTTGATTTACCCTCTTCCAACTTTGAAATCCTTCGTTAACTAATGCAGAAGTAGTATGCATATGAATGTCACTCAAGAAAAGGAAGCAGAAAAAACAGTAAGCTTTATCAGTCACAGGTGAATACTCTAATCAATTAAACTTGTCAAACCAGTGTTTCTGAAAACTTCGGTTTTGAGCTCCAAACTTTTTCACTGGATAAGCTTCCATTCTCGGTTGATAAGGCCCAACATTTAGATATGCACGTCTAACTTCATCTCGCACATTAACATGGTATTCAAGAATTTGTTTTCTTTTTCCCGGATCCCTCTCAATGGAAAAAGATGAAGGCAACTCAAAATTGGAGATAGATTGGATTTCAGGGACTAGGACATGTGAAGAAACCTCATTGACTAGATCTTGCACTATCGTAGGTATAGGTTCAGAACTTCCTTCACCGGTTTGACAATTCACTTTTGAAAAGAATGATGAAATCAACTTCTTTCCCTTCTTGGCAACATGTTCATTATCCATTCTAAAAAAACATTTTCAATATTGGTATAAATTAAAAAACTTATATATAAAATATATAACAGATTCACTCATTCACTCTAAAATGCACAATTCACATATTCACTCTAAAATTACTGGTATTGTTCACCCTAAAATGCACAATTCACATATTCACTCATTCAAAGTTCACTGATTCACAGCAGAAGTTCATAACTTCACTGATTCACAAATCAAAATTCAACACCAGTCACCATTTACATCAAGTCACCAAGAGGCAAAAGTCCAAGAGGATTTACCTGGTCTGGACTGCTGAGGGCTGAATGCTGATAAATCGAGACTCGAGAAAGGGAGGCAGTCGGGCAGAGGAAGAGGCGGCTCCGACTCGGCGTGTCGCTGCTGTTCACGTCTCCGGCACGGCGGCAACTCAGCACCGGCGGCACGCGGCAGGTTCGCTGCTTCAGTCGGTTCGTCACTTCGTCGGTCGTCCACTCGTCCCTTGAAGCCTTCGTTCGACACTTCGACCGCAAGTCCGCAGGCGTAAGCGGTAAGCCGTAAGGGCCTCAGGGGAAAGATGTGGGCTGCTTTTTCTGGGCTGGGCTGGGAATTATTTGTGGGGTGGGCTGACATTTAAATTTAGGGTGGGCTGAGAATCGAAAATATACCAATACTATTAAAAAAAAATTGGGCTGGGCTGAAGCCCACCCCTGGCCAGGCTACCATCCGCCCCTGCCTACACATCATCTTACACATATCTTACTGAAATGGCTAAACTCTGCCTAATCTGCCGAACTTGTATTGAGAATCTGAATTGCTGGTCAATTTTTCAGGATTTTTAATCTCAAATGTAGAACTACAAAAAAAAACTGCCCATTTTTTTGGGGTTGGGTAAACAACAATTTCCTCAGAGATTTTCTGGAAAATGAAAACAATAATTTCATGGGCATTGGTAAAATCTGCCGAAGATGTATACATTTTTAGATATGATAATATAATCTCATGAAGTGAAACCAATGAATTGTTGGTTTTTGCTAAAAATAAATTGTTGGTCTTTCCTAAGCTCTATCAATTTGCCTATTTTATCTTCTCTATATACTTAAAACTCAGAATTATATTATAGGTGATTTATACTCTACTAAACATTTTGAATTTTCCAACACTAACTTAGTGATTATCATTCTAAAATGACACCTATAAATAATCTTAAACATGTCTTACTAAAATGGCTAAAATCTGCCTAATCTGTCTAACTTGTCTTCATATCTGTCTAACTTGTCTTCATAATCTGAATTACTGGCCAATTTTTCAGGTTTTTAATCTCAAATGTAGAATTGCTAACAAACAATCTGCCTATTTTTTGGGGTTGGCTAAACAGAGATTTCTTGAATGATAATTTCTGGAAAATGAAAACAGTGATTTAGTGGGCATAGCTAAATTGTGCCTAAGTTCTATATCCTTTATCTGCTAATATAATATCCTGAAATGATATCAATGAATTGTTGGCTTTTGCGTACTCTATCACACTGCCTATTTTTTTCTTCTCTGTTACTCTAGTAAACTTTAAGATTAAGCCAAAATGCTTTCAGGCTTAATCTGCTAATATAATATCATAAAATGAGTATCAATGAATTGGTTTGGCCTTGGCTTACTCTATCACGATGCCTATTATATTCTTCTCTTTATACTCTAGTAAACTTTAAAAACTTTCGATTTTTCTTCCTTCGCTTGTGCTTCTTAAAATGGTGTTTTCTTTGTGCTTCTTCAAATCTTTGGCCAACTAAGATGAATGTACCCCTGAGCTGCTGGAATAAAATCTCTCAATAATAGTAAAGATGAAAAACACAGCTTAGCAAAAAAAGCAGCATGTCTGGTTTTGGGTGACATGCAATTTTCATTTAGGGACTACCTTTCAAGACTCATTGTTGGGTAGGTGCCACTTTGTAGTTCTTTCTATTGGAATAAGAATAGGTGCCAAGAAATTGCAGAAAATTTGGCTTTTCTTCCTTTCCTTGTGCTTCTTAAAGTTGTATTCGGAGTTGCTCACTCTTTGCATTAATTTTTCTTGTTACATCATATTTCGATCAAAAGTTTGTGTTTTCCAAGATACGATACAACCACAAGTTTTTCAAATTTGAAATCTCAAATTATTCATAACGGTAACCAAAATACCCAAAATCATTTAATATTAAAAAAATCATGCTCAATACACATAAATTCTCGAATATCCGCATTATAATTACATACGGAGTAGTATGTAATTTAATCATTTCAATACACAGTAAATATATATTTTTAGTATAAAATACTACGTATTTAATATAATTATGAGGTAAAAATTATAGTTTTAGTTCAGAGAGAACTTACCTCAAAGTGTAATGCTCCTAGGAGTCCTAGCTTACATCTTTTAACTTGGTCTACAAAAACCACCTTTTAATTAAAATAACCCAATTTGAACTAATGGGTATAATTTAATTAGCACTATTAAACGATCCCCACTACTTTCGTCCATTAATTAGTCGGTCAATATTTCAAACTAACTTTGAATTAGTTTTTACCAACTAATCCAAAATTTTCAATTAATCCAATTCTCTCATTATTCCACTAAGGTAGAAATCCGGATTTCTACATTAATAATTCTTTCTCAACATTAAGTTTTAATATAATCTAATACCATTGATTTTCCATAACTTATCGAGTCATATATTTTTAGTCATTTGTTTTTATTATTAATTAGAAAAATTAAATTTCAGCAAATAATTCAAGTATGCAAACTAATCATATTCTAAAATTATCCCAAATACATCAATTTTATCATTTTAGTACTCTTATCATTGAGTTCGGCCAAATTAGTTTTTACCAACTAATCCAAAATTTTCAATTAATCAAATTCTCTCATTATTCCACTAATATCAATTTCCATTGTTAATTATCACCTTATTTCAGTAATCTGAAGTTAATGTTTCTGTACCATTTAATTCGGTCCAAATTCCATTGATTCTAATTATGAATAAATTGCGACTTAATCCATCCATTTTTCATCAATTTCATCAATTAATTAATTAAGTTCATTTAATTCATTTATAATCCTATTTAATCAAGTAGCCCATTTTATTTTAATTAATCCAATTAAGATAGTCAACTTAATAATGAACCCTGATTAAAACAACAAGTCCGTTTAATAATTATCTTAGTTAAAAAGTGATATAAATTCACTAAGATGCATGGGATATTATCAATGTATAACTTGTATTAAAATTCTCTTAACTCAGTTGATCAGCATTATCATTATTTTCTCATTTTCCATTATTAATTTTGCTATTATTATACTCAGTAATAATTGTTGTTGTTGTTGGACAGATTAAGAAGGGGAAAAAGACTCTAATAGGAGTTTAACATAGGTTTTGTATGCAAATAGGAGCTCTAACTTTTTAAACCCTAAATAAGACCTAATTTTATCCGGACGGACAAAAATACCCCTACCTTCTTTATTCCCGATCTACCTTCTGCGCACACTAGCTAACTCTAACTCAGATGACCTGCGCGCATGCTCTGCTCTCCAACTGCTCGCATGCTTTGCTCTCCAACACCATCGGTTCAACTGATTTGCCGACAACTACGTGAAACATTTGGCGAGCAGATTATCACATTCTTGAAGGATGCAAGTCTCCGTCGCTGCGTTCACTGCCGGTCTGCCGATGGTTCTCGCCAGAGTTGTCGCCGGTTTGAGACGTAAACCAGAGTCGGCGCCGATCTGCCGATGGTTCTAGCAGGGCACAAATTTTTTTTTCGTTCACTGACCTGCTCCTACTCCTGCTTCTTTTTTTTGTGCCCAGCGCAAGTCACCCTCTTCCTTGGATTTGTTATGGACCGTGCAATTCCTTGCAATGCCTCTTAACTTTCATTTTTGTGGTTGTTTGATTTGACTTTTCAATCCAGTACTTCTTTTTGCCTTTTAACTTTCAAAGTTATCATTTGAGTACTTTTTTTTGCCTTCTAACTTTTCAAAAGTTTTCGTACGTATTATTTTTGCTTTTTTTGGGATTTTGCAAATTAATCTATTTAAATTAACATTTGAATATTATTTGAAATAGAGTATGATGGCATTGTTTAAACATCAATATTATTAAATCACAATATAGAATGATGTCATTGTATTAAAAAATCAAAATAGAGTAATTGCTTAAAATCAATGTCATTGTTTAAATAATGACACCGTAATGATGAAAATGTGAATTACTCGTACAATGTCATAAGAATGTCAATTACAAAGTCATAAGAATGTCAATAGAAAACAATGTCATAAGAATGTCAATGACAATGTCATAAGAATGTCAATAAAAAACAATGTCAGTGACAATGTCATATGTATGTCAATGACAATGTCATAAGAATTTCAATGACGAAGTCATAAGAATGTCAATAGAAAACAATGTCAATGACAATGTCATAAGAATGTCAATGACAATGTCATAAGAATGTCAATAAAAAACAATCTCAATGACAATGTCATATTAATGTCAATGACAATGTCATAAGAATGTCAATGATGAAGTCATAAGAATGTCAATAGAAAACAATGTCAATGACAATGTCATAAGAATGTCAATGACAATGTAATAAGAATGTCAATGACAATGGCATAAAAATGTCAATAACAATCTTATAAGAATAATAATGAAAGTGGAACAGAACATTTATAACAATGTCATAACATACAGAGTAAACATAGAATAAAACATAGCACTCTTATTCTCTCAAAAAAACAAAACAAAACATGGAGTAGCACTTGCTGTATGTAGAAACAACGCACTTAGGATACAAATTAAAATTGGAAGTTACAATATGACATTAATGTCCAAATATTAATCCCAATATCCAAACAAAGTCCAAATATCCAAATAGCTGTTGGGCATCGAACCAATTAAGGTCCCAGACCTAGCAAAATTGTTCAATCCCAATTCAGAGCTTCCAGGGTGCCGGCCTATGAAAGGCCATCCACTTTCCGCATTCAACAATCTGCAGGCCAATCAATCTCAGAAGCAGCAAGCATTTCAGACCTTCTACCGAGTATGTATGTTGTTCCTTTCCTCTTTCGGCCTCTAGAACCATTTCCATTAGGCAAGCTCCTCACCAATCCACAATCAGGATTCTCAAAGCTACAATCATTGAATCGTCCAACATTTACCCCATCACCACACTGCACATTACAAGTGTTCATGACATACAATCCTATAGAAGAAAGGTTGATATCATCAAAAACTATGTTCTGATAACTTTCCACTCTTCTTCAATGGCAAAAAAATTAAAGAAAACAAAATATGTAAAAAATGATTGAAAATGAAAATAATTAAATAAAACAAAACTATAAAAAGAATAAATAATAATTTAAAAATGACAGAAAAATCATACAAAACAAAAACCGGAAAAGTTACAACTTCAAAAAGAACATTACTCCAAAAGATCGAAACGAAAGGAAAGAATGAAGTAAAAGCAAAATATAACTCCGTAGCAAATTTTACCAAAAAAAACTATGCAGCAGATCTGCTCTCAAAAACAACTCCCCAGCAGATAGGTACGTGCCTCAAGCAGAAAGAGGGAAAGGAGAATAAGGAGGGCCTGGTGCGCCGACGTCGCTGCACTTTGTCTTCTCCGCCATGCCTCATCTCATCATCGGATCTATCTACGCCGCCGTCTACGCGTCTCTGTTATTCTCTACGAAGCCGAGCCACATGGTCTTCTGTTTCCTTGTGAAAGAGGAAGAAAATATTGTTCGGAAGACAAACAGAGGGGAATATCGATCGAGATTGATGCGGCAGAGTCTTAGCCGTAAATTCCATACGGATAAATTAAAGGGCAACTTTGTCAAGTAATGTAAAAATAGTCCTATTTAGGTATATAAAAAGACGCGGTCCTATTTAAATACACGGCTGAATTTTTAGTCCTATTGGGGACCATTTCTCATTAAGAAGTAGGTGATCCAGCATATTAGTAAAACATTTTATAATGCTTTAGAAAATAGGTGACCCAATATATTATTAATAAAAATAAATTCTATTCACACCAACCATTTTACTAAATACAACCACATATTTTTTTTTTCAAATCCATTTATTCCTTTGGCCCCCTATATTCCCGTACATCCAAACCAAAGACTTTGAAGCTGAAGATTGTGGTCCGGAAACGGCTGCCTAGAGACTCGTAACTCGCATTGGGCTGCAACTTGAGGTGTTCTCATCACTAAAGACGGTGGGTGGTACAGTTGTCACTAGGGGGAGGCCGGAGGGGGCATATAGTTAAGAGCAGGTGGCAGCCGGGCATCTTGGGTCCGACACTACCTTGGAATTAACTGCCGCCGCCGCACGCTACGTCGCCCATGGGTGGTGTTGGCAAGCTCGGTGACGGAGGAAGTGATCCGTTCGGCGACCTCCAGGCTCCAGCCTCTTCTTTGTTTCCCGGCAAGAGCTCCGGTGTTCGTCCCCCCTTCTCCGACGATGTAGAGTAGGTATTTGTACACGCTCATATGTTAAAAAGATGAGAAATATAAAAGAAGAGGATGGAGAAAATGGCATTTGGAAGTGAGAAAATATGCCACACCCAAACTAAAAGAAGTTTTGAATGTGTTTATAAGCCCACCAAAAAGAGTATTGATTACTTGTTTAAGTTCTTATGTCCTTAATAAGTAAGTAAATATATCCATTTCATCTGCAATTCGTATGTATGTCCTCATAATCATTAGATTATAAGAGAATATAAATGCGAATTGCAGATGAAATGGACCTATTCACTTCAATGTTATTGATACTTTTTTGAATAATAATTTGTTTTTTTGAGTTTAGTAATAGAAATATAATCATACATCTAGATTTTGAAGGGAAAATGAAAATGTAGATTATATGGAAAATTGAAGGAAAAATTAGAGTTTTTTCTGAATTAATGCTAATTAAATAAACAAATAAATAGGAAATTAGAGTTGAGTTAAAAATAATTTCCAAAATTTTGTTGGTTGAACCCAAGTAACTTTTGAAATTTGGGTGGGAGTTAATATAATACGTAGTATATAGTCTCATATTATTGTGTCAATACCCAATTTAATCCTATACTATTAATTTGGTGAGCTTTTGTCCTCAGACTTTCAATTTTCTTTTTCAAAATTTAATCCTTTATTGTTTTATTCTACAAAAAATAACAAAATTAGTACCACTATGAGTCCGTTTGGTAACACTGAAATCGGCTGAAATTTATAAAGTTATGGATTAGCTGAAGTGACTACATTGGTTGATTCTACTTATTTATGAAAAAAAATATATTTAAAATATATTTTATTAATAAATTAAAGAAAAAATTGTACTAGATTAGTCTTTTATGTAATCGGGCCTATCAGGCCCATATTAGCAGCCCAACCCATTATTTCTCTATTTATACTCCTTTTGGAGCTTGTAACCCTAGAACACAACTCATTCATACATTACTATTCATCATCCTCTCTACTCCATAGCTCAAATCTCTCCTAATTATATATGTTTGGATCCTAATAATCCATCAATGGTGCTCTCATTGAGAGTTTTGAGCAAAATCAAGTAAGAAATCCTCCCAAAACATACTTCCTCCTTCTCGGAATTATCTTCGTACTTTCCTTTTCGGTCTGTCCCAAATTTATCTCTACTTTCCCTTTTTAGCAAAGAAATTGTGGTTCACAATCATTCTCACACATTCTTACACATTTCTCTTTCCTCTGCAAAACTCTCCACCACACATTTCCCACTATCTTAATCTGTGTGCCATTTGTACTTCAAGAGATAAATATGGGACGGAGGGAGTACAAAAAAATCAAGCAAAACAATTTTGGAATTATCAGCAAAAAAACTCTGAAGTTCGAGATCTGGAAAGGATGGACGCTCGTAGTTCAGGTACGGACCAACCCAGCGGCAGCCGGCGAACGGTCCCGAGTGTAAACTCTGCCAGCTCTGTCACAGCGCCACCACCTGGTCACTACGCCCCGGCCTCTTCGCCGATTCGCCGCCCCCAGCTCGTTCTTGCAGCTACAACATCGTCGGACACCTATGGCAGCTGGCTCTACCACTTCGCCGGCCATCAGTCTGCCTCTTTGCCTCCGTTTGCCCCAAGTCTCGTGCAAGGTTTCCGCCAAAATGGTGGTTTGGAAGCTCTGCTCGCGACCCAAGGATCTACAATAACAGCCGATTTTGACTAAGGTCACACCCCAAATCTGGAAATGCTGGGCCAAGGCTCGCTAAAGCTCGGGGCATCACGGTAATGGTCTGGGTCTCGAGATTTTAATCTCAGGCAGATGCTAGGGCTCCAGGGACAGAGACAGACGCTCGAGGACTAACTGCCCTCGTTGACTCCTTCCGGCCGAGGGAATAGCAACCCCCCTCGGCCGAGCCTGAAAGAAGGATACCCATTCCTCGCTCAAAGAAGTAGAGGAAGAAATAAAAGATGGACAACCGAAGGACCGTGCACTCGCCGGGCCTCAAGCGAAATCCCCACAAATCAAAAGAGGGAAGCCGAGGACCGCGCACTCACCGACCTCGAGCGATAAAAATAAAATCCCCACAAATCAAGCCACATATTTGGCTAAGTACATATCAGGCAAATACAATGCATTATGGACGGAGCAAGACCATACATGAGGATCAGACGAGCGCCACCCCTCATCTTCAGACGAGCGCCTAGTGCCGTCCCTCATCTTCAGATGAGCGCCCCAGCGCCATCCCTCATCTTCAGACGAGCGCCTAGCGTCGTCCCTCATCTTCAGACGAATTCCCAACGTCGTCCCTCATCTTCAGACGAGCGCCCAGCGCCATCCCTCATCTTCAGACGAGCGCCCAGCGCCATCCCTCATCTTCAGACGAGCGCCCAGCGCCGTCCCTCATCTTCAGATGAGTGCCCAGCGCCGTACCTCATCTTCAGACGAGCGCCCAATGCCGTTCCTCATCTTCAGACGAGCGCCCAACGCCGTCCCTCATCTTCAGACGAGCGCCCAGCGTCGTCCCTCATCTTCAGACGAGCACCCAGCGCGATCCCTCATCTTCAGAAGAGCGCCCAGCGCCATCCCTCATCTTCAGACGAGCGCCCAGTGTCGTCCCTCATCTTCAGACGAGCGTCCAAACCTAGTCCATCATCGGACCGGCTCCGCTACCCTTCATGTTCAGTCCGGCGTCAACGCATTTCCCTTCCTCACATCACGACCAGCCCCTCGACTATGGCGTGAATGCGTGATGCTCTATCTTAAGACCGGTCTTAGGCATTCCTTTACCGGATGGCGACCGTTGCATGGATTGTAGGACCGGCTCCTCATCGCCGTCGTCCTCACATCACGACCAGCCCCTCGGCTATGGCATGATGCTCTATCTTAAGACCAGTCTTAGCCATTCCTTTACCGGATGGTGACCGTTGGATGGATTGTAGGACCGGCTCCTCATTGTTGTCGCCTCACATCACGATCGGCCCCTCGGCCTCAGCGTTATTATCTATCTCAAGACCGGCTTCCTCGGCGCCAGGAGTCTTGAGCTAGCGATTGGGCTCGCCATCCCTTCCTGGATGGTCACCATCGCCACTATATGACGACCGGATCATCATCGCCTCGTCATCATATTTCGGATTGGCTCCTTCTCATCACCATCTGCACATCACGACCGGCCCCTCAGCCTCGGCGTGACTATCTATCTCTAGACCGCCTTCCTCAACGCCGAGAGTCTTGAGCTAGCGATCGGGCTCACCATCCCATCCTGGATGGTGACCATCGCCTTTGTATGATGATCAGCTCATCATCGCATCGTCATCATATTTCGGATTTGCTCCTTCTCATCGCCATCCGTGCATCACGACCGGCCCCTCAGCCTCGGCGTGATTATCTATCTCAAGACCGGCTTCCTTAGCGTTGAGTCTTGTGCTAGCAATCGGGCTCACCATCCCTTCCTGGATGGTGACCATCGCCTTTATATGATGATTGGCTCATCATCGCCCCGTCATCGTATTTCGAACTGGCTCTTCATCATCGCCGTCCGCACATCACGACCGTCCTTTCGGCCTCGGCGTGATTATTTATCTCAAGATCGGCTTCCTCAGCGCCGAGAGTCTTGAGCTAGCGATCGGGCTCGCCATCCCTTCCTGGATGGTGACCATCGTCTCTATATGACGACCGGCTCATCATCGCCTCGTCATCATATTTCGGATTGGCTCCTTCTCATTGCCATCTGCACAGCACGACTGGCCCTTTGGCCTTGGTGTGATTATTTTTTCAAGACCGGCTTCCCAACGCCGAAGTCTTGTTATAGCGATTGGGCTCGCCATCCCTTCCTGGATGGTGACCATCACATCTATATGACGGTTGGCTCATCATCGCCCTGTCATCATATTATCGGACCGACTCCTCTTCATCGTCGTCCGCTCATCAGCGTCGTCGTCTTCATATTCAGACCGGCTCCTCAGCGCCATCGTCCTCATATTCAGACAGGCGTACACCGTCTTGTCCTCATATTCAGATATAGCGAACATCTTGCGGTCTCTGGCTGAAAGGCTAAAGGAGCCCAGAGTTCAGTCATAGGCCCAATCAGCCATATATCGCTCTGCCATCTTTATTTGATGACGCGAAGCTCATTTACAGGCCCAATCGGCCATATACCGCCCCATCATCTTTTATTTGATGACGTGAAGTTTATTTGTAGGCCCATCGGCAACATATCGATCCGTCATCTTTATTTGATGACGCGAAGCTCATTTACAGACCCAATCGGTCATACATCGCCTCGTCATCTTTATTTGATGACAATGGGCTCTCATATAGGCCTCTCGACCATCGCCCCGTCATCTTTATTTGATGACGTGGAGCTCTCATATAGGCCTCTCGGCCATACATCGCTCCGTCATCTTTATTTGATGATGTGGAGCTCTCATATAGGCCTATCGGCCATACATCGCCCCGTCATCTTTATTTGATGATGTGGAACTCTCATATAGGCCTCTCGGCCATACATCGCTCCGTCATCTTTATTTGATGACATGGAGCTCTCATATAGGCCTCTCGGCCATACATCGCCCCGTCATCTTTATTTGATGATGTGGAGCTCTCATATAGGCCTCTCGGTCATACATCACCCCGTCATCTTTATTTGATGTCGTGGAGCTCTCATACGGGCCTCTCGGCCAAACATCGCCCCATCATCTTTATTTGATGACGTGGAGCTCTCATCCAGGCCCCTCAGCCATGCATCGCTCCGTCATCTTTATTTGATGACGTGGAGCTCATCATACCGGCCACTTGGTCGTCTCTCCTGGTCATCTTTATTTGATGGCTTGGACTTCTTATAGGCCTCTCGGCCACATGTCTCGGTCACTTTATTTGATGATCTGGACATCATATTATGGACGGTCACTCGACCTATCTCTTAGTCATCTTTATTTGATGATTGGAACTAACTAATTATCATGCAGAACTACTCACATCTAGAGACTGGTCTCGGCCATCCCCTCAGCAGACGGACACCGTTGCACCTCCACACTTAGGCCGAAGGGCTCACCCCTTTTGCTTCATTTTGGGCGCATCCGGTGTGCTCTTTTTCCCTCATTAGGATTTTTCTCCACTGGGTTTTTTCCTAATGAGGTTTTTAACGAGGCATCTCCCTAACGTGGAAAAAAGGTGTCGACCCTCAGTCCCTATTGAAGACATCAAGAGACATGCACTACTCTACTCCTCTTCACCTCACTACATTCACCTCAAGGAGTGGGGGACTTGAAGAGCGGGGGAGTTAGCGCCTCAAATTTTTTCACGAAGTTTACTCACCAGACGACGACAGATCAGCACACATATCTACTCCCTTTCGCCTCGAGTACTCTCGACTCAGGGAGTGGGGGACTCCTGATAGAGTATATAGTCTCGGACCCCCGGGTCTCACTACTATTGGGCCTAGATAGCGGTCCACACACGCTTATCGAATGTCTTTTGTATTATTGTACTATTCATATTCCATCTGTATGTATTAGATTAGTCTTTTATGTAGTTGGGCCTATCGGGCCCATATTAGCGACCCGACCCATTATTTCTCTATTTATACTCCTTTTGAAACTTGTAACCCTAGAACACAACTCATTCATACATTACTATTCATCATCCTCTCTACTCCATAGCTCAAATCTCTCCTAATTATATATGTTTGGATCCTAATAATCCATCACATACATACATACATACATACATACATACATACATACATACACACACACATACACACACACACACAGACACACAGACACACACACACACACACACAGACAAACAGACACACAGACACACAGACACACATACACATACATACATACATACATATTCTGCTGAATGGAAAAGAAGAAGTCTGATAGTATCGTGATAAAGGCTAAAGGGTTAGTATAAATATTAATATATACATACATTTATAAATCATATTATTTTTTTTATCTCAAATAGTAGAGGTTTAATAAGAAAACACATAATAAAGGCTAATAAAGGCTAAAGGGTTAGTATAAATATTAATATATACATACATTTTTTATCTCAAATAGTAGATGTTCTTTATTCCACTTATCCCCACACTTGAAACAAAAACCCTTCCCGGTTCTTTCTTGCAACACAGTTTGTGTCAGCCTCTGTCCATTTCTCCAGGAGTTATTGAACCCTGGTTGTTCTCCTGCTTCGTAGTCTGTCACAACCTTGGAAGCAGTTGGGTTATTAGAATAGGTTCTCCCTAGTGCTCTCCCCCCAGTGCAAGGATTTAGTCAGAGTTCCTTCTTTCTCCTACCAACCTCTCTTATCCTCTTCTGTATGTTTAGCTGTCCTTACTGCAGCATTTTTGTCTTCGAGTAACAGTGCATGGTCCATAATCTCCGGTAAGGATCTCGTAGGATACAATTTCAGCTCAGCTCTCACTTCCTCCCTCGATCCATTCATGAAGACCCCTTTCAGCATCTCAGTGTCTGTATTCTCTTGGCTCCTTAAGGATTTTGCACCAAGTCCGGTTGAAATCTTCGAATAAGTGCTTCCTGAAAAGTTTCCCAGTTCCTATTATAAGTTTGGCCCTCCCACCATTGGAACCAGTTGAGGGCCTTATCCTCATCAGGTATGTCATTCAATCTAAAAAATCTTTCCACTCATACTAGCCAGCCATAAGCGCTGTTCCCATTGAACATCGGAAGATCTATCTTTCTCCCGTTTCGATGGTGAACTCTGGTCTTCGAAGTTTCATGGGTAGCAGAAGATACTTGGGATGATCGCGACTCATCGCGAGTGCGAGAGGTGCTGTGATTTTCATCTGGAGTTCGTCGTCGGAATTTCAGGAACGTCCTCTGGGTCGACCGTGGTTCTGCTGCTGCCTGCATGTTGTATATCCTCTCGTCCATCTTTTTACTTCGATCGATACACAATTTAGTGTTCAAACCAAAAAACTTATGATTCAATGAAAAACTCTTAAGAATATATTTTGGACTGTTTTATATTTTGGGCTTAATGGACTGTTTCTTTATTTTCAGGCCTGTTAGCCCATTTGTATAAATACCCTTTAACTTTGTAATACTTTTAGGTTTTCACATTTTCTTCTTCTCCGTAATCTATCTTCTTCGATTCTCTCTGCAAATCAATTCTTCCTTCTCGCAAGTCAGATTTCAATTCATATTACATTTCACATGGTATCAGATTAAGGTTTAGATTGACGAGCACTTTGTCACGGTGCGTCAAAATAAATTCATTACTAAACACTTATACGTAGTATAGCGTAGTAGAGTTCGTATCCATAGGGAAAGGAATGATTTTCTTTTTATGAAACTAATAATTAAAAGGGGGGTTTTGGTTTTGAGTGATTTAATTCAATTAAGAAACTAAGATGAACAACCTATATGTGTTTAATTCAAAGATAAAAAGGTCTTGGCATTGCTACTTTCCACTTGTTGATATATTTTAGTCGATCATTGTTATATCTATAACTTATTCCCTCTCGAACACTCAATCGGGGAGTATATCCACTTCATCGAGGGTAGTTATTAACAACGACCGTTCATTAATAACCCTTACTATTAATCAAATATAGAACAACGCCTTATACCGATTTAATAGTAGCATTTAATCTTTCTAACTCCTTGATGAAAACAATTGAGATTGATAACCTCAACACAAGCGATTTCGGTTTAACCAACAAAATTAATCCCTCTTAAGTTTATTAACCACGACCGTGCATTAATAAACCGAAGTTACTTACTTGTGAAACCATCAACGATTAACCATCGGTTCGTTGATCGTTTCTAGTAATAATTAATATATGAAACAAAACTAGTTGATCCTTTAAGTAATGTTCAAAATATTAATATGAAATAAGAGTAGGGATTAATTAATATTCAAGGAAGAATATTATTAATGAAGATGAATCCTACTATAATTAATATCAAGATGTTAACTAATTGTCATCTTAGCAACACTCCTCAATATTAATATAGAGGAAGAAAATACCATTCTAACTAATGTCGAGATGTTAACTAATTGTCATCTTAGCAACACTCCCCAACATTAATATAGAGATGATATTAAGGAAAGAACTATTAATTAATATTCAAGGAAAGAAGTTAAGAAAATAACTCACAACTTTAATAATCAACAAGCTTCAAGAGCAACACCAAGAATGGAAGTTTAGCACCTCATTTGGAGACTAAACATAGCTAGAAAAATATAAAGAAATGCTATTCTAAACTGAGCTAAAGAGTATGGAAGAAGGGATTATTTTTAGGGAAGAAAAAGAGTGCTATTTATAGGTGTTTTTCAACACCTTTGGTCGGGTACCCGACCGGGTCAAGTACTCACCCGACCGGGTCCGGTCAAAATCAGATATTTCCTCACGTTCTGGTGATCTTCGGCATGTTAAAGTGTCCGGGTCAAGTCAGACCCGACCGGGTGGGGTAGGGGACCCGACCGGGTGAGTGCAAAAATTGGATTTTCTACACGTTCGGGTGATCTTTGCACACCGGGTTGTCCCCGGTCACTTCTCACCCGACCGGGTGAGGTAGTGGGCCCGACCGGGCCATGCACTTTCTTTGCATTTTCGTTTTTCACTTCTTACCCGACCGGGTCAAGTATTATACCCGGTCGGGTATTTGCTCCTGGGCAGCCAAATCTTCTTTTCTTCACTTCAAAGTCTTCCTTTCCAAACCATAAATCCTAACTAAACTTTACAACTGACAAAAATAGACTAAAATACAATTACAACTTGAAATCACATAAATGTTTACAAACTAAATAAAACGTCAAACAATTAACATAAATCACACATAAAAACATGTAATTATGCACTACTAATTAGTGTGCATCAGATTCAATTCTCCGTAATCTATCTTCTTCGATTCTCTCTGCAAATCAATTCTTCCTTCTCGCAAGTCAGATTTCAATTCATATTACATTTCACATGGTATCAGATTAAGGTTTAGATCCTTACTGATTCAATCGATTCAATCGATCTTCTTTCTAATCGATTTCTATAATCGATTCATAGTTTTTTTTTCGTTTGCATCTTCCGCAAACCCTAGCTTCGATGGCCCTGCAGATAAATCCTATTGACAATTCTTCATCGCCCTACTACCTTCATCCAAGCGATCATGCTGGACTTCGCATCATCTACGAGACCTTCACTGGCGAAAACTTCGGTGCTTGGAAGAAATCGGTCACCATGGCCATGGCGGTGAAGAACAAGATGGGATTCCTTGACGGATCATTTGCTCAGCCGACTACAGATAACTCCATGTACTCTCACTGGTATCGTATTAATGCTCTTCTCTTATCCTGGCTGATATACTCTATTTCTCCTACTCTTAGAACTACCTTTCTCTCTTTTATCAATGCTAAGGATCTCTGGGATGAGGTACAACTTAGGTATGGTAAAATTGATGGTCCTAGACTTTTTCAACTTGAAAAAACCCTAGGAAATCTTTGTCAAGGTTCTCGTACTATCACTGATTACTATAATTCCTTTAAAGAAATTTGGGATGAATACTGTAATTTCAGAATCATCCCTTCTTGTACTTGTGGCCATTGCACTTGCAATATATCTGAAACCACTCTATCTGGTATTTACTCTATTCTTCTTCAAGAAGAATCTCAAAGAACTCTTCAGAATTCTATCTCTTTCACAAATTCTTTTTCAGATTCTTCTGTATCTGAAAAACTTAATAATGATGCTACGGCTTTCTATGTTAAGAATTTTAAAAAGAAAAGTTCTATTATCTGCAATCACTGTGGCTATCAAGGTCACTCTTCTGATAAATGTTTCCAACTCATTGGTTATCCTACTAACTGGAAAGACCCAAAAGGTCAAATTCTTGCTCCTGGTTTTAAACCAAATCTCAATTCCAATAAAAATCATCATGCTAATCTGGCTGCCAACTCTACTGAACCTGATTTAACTCCTACACATTACACTGAATCTGCTCCACCTTCAAACAACACCAATTCTGCTACCACTGAATTCTGTGATCCCAACTTGTATGAAAAGTTCCTGCAATTCATCCAAGCTCAACAGCCTAAAACTGCTTCTGTCAATGCTGTCACCATTGCTTCTGAAGATGGTCTTAATTCTTCAAACAATGCTTCACAGTTTTTAGGTAAACACTTTGCTTTAGCATCTTTTACTTCTTCTAAATGGATTCTTGACACAGGAGCATCTGATCATATGATCTATGATGCTTCCCTTTATACTACTCCAACTAAAGATGTTTCAATTAATATTCAACTTCCTACTGGTAACTACATTTCTGCCACTAAAATTGGTAATATAACTTTAAACCCCAATCTTACTTTATATAATGTTTATATGTTCCTAACTTTACTTTCAACCTTATTTCTATTTCCAGTTTAACTTCTCATGATAATATCTCAGTCTATTTTTCATCTAACCGTGCTATATTGCAGGACCACCTTACCAGCAAAATGATTGGCTTTGCTGATCTAAGGAATGGCCTCTATTACTATAATCCAGATTCCTCTTTAGATCATTTTTCTACTGCTTACTCTGCTAATAGTCAAAATAATGTCTCTATTGCTACTCTTTGGCATTTTAGACTTGGACATTTACCCTTTAATAAAATTTTCATGCTTCCTGATTGTAATGTTTCCAATAATGAAAACCATTGTTCTCCTTGTGATATTTGTCATTTTGCTAAACAAAAGAAACTTCCTTTTCCTATCAGTACTGCTCATGCTTCTAATCCTTTTGATTTAATTCATATGGATGTTTGGGGTCCTTACAAAGTTACTTCTTATACTGGCTTTAAATATTTTTTAACTATACTTGATGATTACACTAGATGTACTTGGGTTTTTCTTTTAAAAACTAAATCTGAAGTCAAATTTCATATGCTAAATTTCTATATTTTCATTGAAACTCAATTTCACAAGAAAATTAAAGTTATAAGAACAGATAATGGAACTCAATTTATCTTTCCTGATTTTTACAATTCAAAAGGAATTCTTCATCAACTATCTTGTGTTGAAACACCTCAACAAAATGGTAGGGTTGAAAGAAAACATCAACATATTTTACAAATTGCTAGAGCTTTTTTATTTCAATCTTGTTTACCTCTTACTTTTTGGTCTGATTGCATTCTTACTGTTGTGCATATAATAAATAGACTGCCAACTAATATTCTAAATAATAAATCTCCTTTTGAAATGCTTTATAATCATGTTCCAGATTATACTCATTTAAAAGTCTTTGGTTGTTTAGCTTTTGCTTCAACTATTTCTTCTAATAGATCAAAATTTGATTCTAGATCACATAAATGCATTTTTATTGGCTATCCTCTAGGCTCTAAAGGATACAAATTATATGATTTAACCACTCATAAAACTTTTGTTTCTAGAAATGTTAAGTTCTATGAAATGTCTTTTCCGTATAAAACTACACATTATGACAATATTTTTAATTCTGATTCTATTGAAACAAATAATGATCATACTATTAATGATTACTTAAACACTGTTTCTAATGCTGCTCCTCAAACTGTTAATGAAAATAATAATACACATATTTCATCCACTATCACAAATTATTTGGACAATCAAATAAATGAAGAATTGAATTTGTTTCAGTTTGATAATATTAGTTCTAATGCTAATGATTCTTCTAGTCTGTTGCATACAGATACCTTTCAGAATCATGAAAATGTTCCTTAAGATAGTACTCAAAGAAAATCTACAAGAGTAAGATCTATCCCTATTCATTTAAGAAATTTTGATTACAAATTACCCAATTCTCTTCTTCCTAATAATTCTGAATCTTCTTGTAATATGATTAGATATCCTATTCAGAACTACATCTCATATAACAATTTACATTCTTCTCATCACTGTTTTATTGCTTCTCTTTCTAAAGCTTCTGAACCTAAAACTTACAAACAAGCTGTTAAATTTCCGGAATGGAAAAATGCTATGAATGATGAAATTAAAGCTCTTGAACATAATAATACCTGGACTCTTGTTGATCTTCCTTCTAATCAATATACTATTGGTTGTAAATGGATTTTCAAAACAAAATTAAAAGCTGATGGATCTCTTGACAAATATAAAGCTAGACTTGTTGCTAAAGGTTATACTCAAGAAGAAGGACTTGATTATTTTGATACTTTTTCACCAGTTGTAAAGTTAACCATTGTTAGAATTCTTCTAGCCATTGCCAGTTCTAAAAATTGGCATTTACATCAATTAGATGTAAATAATGCCTTCTTACATGGTGACTTAAATGAAAATATTTATATGGAACCTCCTCCTGGTTATTTGCCTAACAATGATACTAGAGTTTGTAAATTACTTAAAAGCATATATGGTTTAAAACAAGCCTCTAGACAATGGTATTTTAAACTTTCTGAAGCTTTAAAAATTTCTGGTTATACACAGTCTCAAGCAGATTTTTCTCTTTTCACCAAAGTAAATAATACCTCTTTTACTGTCATATTACTTTATGTTGATGATCTAATTCTTGCAGGAAATGACATGAATGAAATTAATGCTGTTAAATCCTTCTTACATCAAAAATTTACTATTAAAGATCTTGGAAAATTAAAATACATTTTAGGAATAGAAATTGCTAGATCAAAAACTGGTATTATTCTAAACCAAAGAAAATATACTCTTGACATACTCTCTGATTTTGGTTATCTTTCTTCAAAACCATTTTCCACTCCTATGGATTCTAAACTTAAACTTTCAAAACACAATGGTACTGTTTTAAATGATCCTAAAACCTATAGAACTCTAATTGGTAGATTATTATACCTTACTGTCACTAGGCCTGATATTGCTTACTCTGTTCAAACATTGAGTCCATTTTTATCTTCTCCTACTAATATTCATATGGCTGCAGCTCATAGAATACTTAGGTATCTTAAAAGCTCTCCAGGTAAAGGTCTCTTTTATCCTTCCAACTCTTCTTTTAATATTCAAGCATATACAGATTCTGACTGGGGTTCTTGTGTTGATACTAGGAAAAGTATTTCTGGGTATTGTTTTTATCTTGGGGATTCCTTAATTTCTTGGAAATCCAAGAAACAACCTGTAATGAGTAGATCTTCTACTGAAGCAGAATACAGGGCAGCTGCAAATGCAGTTTGTGAGGCCCAATGGATTGCTTATATTCTTAATGATTTACAAATTAAAAATTCTTTACCCATAACATTATACACTGATAACAAATCTACTTATCATTTAGCATACAATCCTATCCAACATCAAAGAACAAAACATATAGAACTAGATTGTCATTTAATTAGGGAAAAGATCAATTCTGGTCTTATAAACTTGAACATATCTCTAATACTTATCAACTTGCAGATATCTACACAAAATCACTTGGAAATCCTCTCTTCAAGCAGTTTGCAGACAAGATGAACATGCAAGACATCCATGATCATCTTGAGGGGGCGTCTTAAGAATATATTTTGGACTGTTTTATATTTTGGGCCTAATGGACTGTTTCTTTATTTTCAGGCATGTTAGCCCATTTGTATAAATACCCTTTAACTCTGTAATACTTTTAGGTTTTCACATTTTCTTCTTCTCCGAAATCTATCTTCTTCGATTCTCTCTGCAAATCAATTCTTCCTTCTCGCAAGTCAGATTTCAATTCATATTACATTTCACAAAAACATTTTTTACTAGGTCAGTAATCTTATTGATAAGGCCTGTAAACCTTACTAATATCTAATAATGTTGGTTAATAGATAAAACGTGTATAATTATTTAATTATAGTTGTCCAAATTTTTAGACCAGCCGGGTAAACGGGCCGGGTCCGGGTCCATTATTAACTTAGCGGGTCCGGGTCTGGAACACTACGTTCCGACCCGGACCCTACCCATTGACAGGCCTAACCATATACAAAATGCATGTGCACTGACAGGTCATGCAGTGTGTCTCTAGTACTTGGCAGGTTTGTTTTGGATCAACAGGGGCATTTTTTATCAAACACAAAAAAAGTCTTATTTTAGGAATTTTCAAACTTCTACTCCTATTTGTTATTTTTAGCCATGTTTTACTCATATTTAGATAATTCACTCTATATATAAAGGGATTGAGATCCGGTAAAAACACCTTAAATGAGAAATAGGAAGGGATCCTATACGCAGATTGGGCGTACATTGGATGGAATCGTATGACAATAATGAAAAGATTTTGGGTGATACAGTGCGCTAAATCTTACATTTTTTCCCCTGGAATAGTCTCACCTTAATAAATGCATTATTATAGAGGGTATAAGAGTCTTTCTGATTTCTTACCAAAATTAAAATAAAATGATTACTATGCGATAATCACTATTGCACCGAGAATCGCGCTCCCATTAGTTTTAACCGGCTAAAGTAGGAAAATGCAGAGTTTTTCATTACTCTCATCACTCTCCAAGAACGAAGTGCAGAAGGGGAGTCCGAAAAAGGAATCACATTGTAAGAAAATGGCATCGGTTCAAGAAGAAAATAAATTTTCAATGAAACTATATCAGTGTTATGTATTACATTGTAATACATTGTTCAGTGAAATTGTAGATTTTCCACTAAACAATATTATCACTGTGCCAGAAACTAGAAAAGGACTAGTTGTAGACAAAGCTTCGCCAGAAACTAGAAATGGACTAGTTCCAGGCGTGATTGTGATAATTTTACTAGTATAATACAATTACAATAATTGTACCGATACAGATTTTAGACTTGCCACTGCGCAATACTCTCACCGTGCCAGAAACTAGAAAAGGACTAGTTCTAGACAAAACTTTTGCGAGAAACTAGAAATGGGCTAAGTGGTGACATAATCTCTAAAAATTAATATTTTCTAGCATTCTTATCTTTTAAATATTGTTACATAATTAGTTTTTAAATAATCTCAGATTTCATGTATGCCTCCCAACCATCATCTTCAAATAATTCGCAATTTTCTCGATCATGCATCAACATATTACATATACTTTTCAAATAATCTTAAGATAATCAGATTCATATCTTGATATCGGATTATTTTAGCAAATAATCTCATTAAATAATTTATGTCACTCAACGATAATTTTCTAAAAACTGTCATGTCACTAGCTTAATCTCTTAATAATTTTTAAGACTCGGGGTTCCATCCTAAAAGATCAACTTGATAGGAGGAGTAGTCAAAGCTTTATATGGTGTTTAATTGTTTTATAGCTTTCCAATGTGGGACAAATATTTTGACAATAATCCTAGCAATGAAGATGCCCTTGTACTCAAATTTCAACCACAAGATTACATTTTCAACCACTTTATTAATAATCGTGCAAAAAAAAAAATGAGACACATAAAATAGGACGGATGTAGTATTGTTTTTATTTTTATCATAACAAATATTGAGTACTTCTAAAATTCATGCGTTAGAGCAATACGGAGTAAAAAAATCACGTCTTAAACAATTAATTTTTTATTTTAAAAAATATAAAACAAGCTTTTCGAAATTGGAATAAAGTATTCGCTGAATTTGGATTGAGTTAGTTTCTCCTTAAATCTCATGTAAATTACGTATGCAGTTTTCCTTTTTATGAGCGGTGCAACTGCATTTTTAAAAAAATCTGATTGATGTATAAACTGAGGTATCGAAACCTTCGAAATTTTGGAATGCACGGTCGAATTTTCCTAATTTAATTAGCACTATTAAACGATCCCCACTACTTTCGTCCAGTAA